CCTAGATTCGTTGTCCGCCCCCCTCCACGGAGCCCGCATAAGGGCTCGCGGCTAAGGGGGTCGGGGAAAGGCCCGGTTCGAATATGCATCGAACCGAGTGGCCCCAAGAGGGTCGGGGATTCTTCCCCGGGCCGCTGAAGACGCATGCCTCTGACTAGCCGCAAACGCCCCTCTACTCAGATTGCGCGCGGCCCGAATGCCGCCTCGAGAACGGCTTCGATCTCCTGCCGCGCCGTCGACCTGATTCAAACCGCCTGCTCTTTAGGCGCCCTGTTCGACCCGGGAACTTCTCGGAGGTGATGCCTGCCAAAAAAAACGGATGTCCTGAGACCTGAGGGCGTGCCACGACTGGATGCAGAGGGGAATCCGCTCCTTGATTGCAAAGCCTGCGCGGGCGAACAGGCATTGCGGATATTGGGAGTGGCCCCAACGGGCACAAAATTGCGCGCGCGCGTCGGCTTAGGACTTATCGACGATGGCTGCCCCATCAACACCGCCATGCCCAAGAAATACCTGCTGTCTTCGGTCATCTACCTGTCGGACCAAGTCCGACGATCACGCATGATGGGACCATTGCAGCGGACACGGACCCATATGCATGGATGTTTACTGTATATGTCATTCGCTTATTGCGTCATGCAGAGGAGGACGAGTTACTGGAGGAACTCTATGTGTACGAGCCTCCGACACCAGATGCGCTTCACTTGAATGTGCGTGCGCTGTTTTTCCGACCCCGAAGTGAGCGACATGTTCTTACGACTCGACCCGTGCGTGTTGGGCGCGGCTGCGAAGACGGTTGTCATATCTCCTCCTCATGGTCTCTACGCACCTCATCATACTCTGGAGGCCTCGGAAGTCCCACCGCCCCTACCGGTGCCAGCCCCTTGGAAGTGCGAACTTACGGACTCTTTGGGTACTGTCTGCGGGAGCGAGCTTATGACTTCACGAGCTCACTTGGCGCATCAGAGGTTCTCGCGGGCTGGGGGGCACAGCGTGAGATCTGTGATACACTCTATAACAATGACTAATCAGTGCATGCACTGCACACACACACATTCCGTACAAGGCGCATTGCACAAGAGCATGCATTACATGCAGTCCTCCAGAAACGGTGCCCTCTGACGACTATATATCACCGAAGTTCTAGAATGCCCTGTAACAACGATCCCAAGTACTTCTATCTTTGGTGGTCACACTGCAGAGCCGTGCTGCTCGAGGGATTCGCCATTCTCCACTCTTGACGAGCTGTACCAGCATCTGACCATCCACGATCCCGCGCCGCAGTCCCGACATGTTCAGATTGAACTCCGAGCAGCTCGACCAGGCGCGCTCTCGGTCAGAGGGCAGAAGAGGAGGGCCCCCGCGGCAGCGCGCTCGCAGTGGATCGACCGGTGCTTCCCGCCAGCGTGGCGGACGGCGCAGAGGCCCCAGCCAGCTTCAACGCGCGCCTGCCGCCGCCCAAGCAGCAGGAGCGGCACCAGGCTCGGCAGCAGGAAGGGCTCAGGACGTCAAGGCGGCCCTCGGCAAGCAGTGCGGTCTGGCTCCCGGCACGATGCTGAACCTTCCCAGCATGGAGGTGCAGTTGATGACCCGACTGATGCCAATCCTCGTCAAAGCTGTCCTCGGGAACACTTTCCAGCTGCGGCTTTTTATGGCGGCAGAAATTCCTGACCTTCATGCTTCCCGAGGGGGCATACGCGACCACCGCAGCGGCTATGAGGGAGGCCCACGCCAAGGACCCGCAGGCGCCGCTTCCCGAGGGTCACATGGGCCACGCCTGCGCTCAGATATTCATGGTAGTAGCAGATCAGACCGGCAAGGAGGGAGACAAAGTAGGGGCTGGGATTCCGAGTGAGCTCGGCCTCCAAGGAGAACCAGGCCAAGCTGACTGTCTCGCTGTCCGACCAGCCCATGCAGAAAGTATTCTCAGACTGCGTCATTCAATTGGGAGCGGAGCTGAAGGAGGGGATCGCTCCTCGCCCCCACACCGAGCGTATTCTACAGATGGCGATCGACGAGTTCGAAGGGATGTGATGATGACTGTGCCGACGTTCGGAAATACACACCATACCAACCACATGCATGCGGCCAACCCCCGACAAACTTCCAGAGAGGTTCGAGCTCCGAGGCCCACCGTGGCCAGTCTTGGGACCGACACTGACAGGACAAGCAATTCGACCACTGGTGAGCGGAGTGAGACCAGCGCAGCGCCCCGTCAGCAGCAACATCCGCAGTATAGCTTCAAAGAGCTGGTGAGACTTTTCCCGGAAAGGGCATAGGCCCAAGGTTCTCTTTTAGTAGGTTTACCCCCGGTTTTGACTGCTGTAGGGCCGGCAAATTTCTTTTGCGATAGATAACGAGGTCGCGTAGGGCCGGCGAATTTAAATTTGAGGATGTCTCGAGCGAAACGCTTGCTTTTCATAATTTGTTGAGGATGTCTCGAGCGAAACGCTTGTTTTGTGTTATAGATTGTCCTCTCCTGGGGACCTGAATTCTGAGGATCTCTCAAGTGGATTGCTTGTTTTCACGTGCCCAGGTCTTGAGGATGTCTCGAGCGAGACGCTTGGTTTCACGCCTCCAGGTGGCCCAGACAGATGTCTAGCATAAGGATTTGTTGAGGATGTCTCGAACCAGAGGTTTGCTTTCACGTGACGTGTCCAGGTCGCCCAGGCGGATGTCTAGCGTGAGCATTTGTTGAGGATGTCTCGAGCGAGACGCTTGTTTGCACGTGTCCAGGTTACCCAGGCGGATGTCTAGCATGAGGATGTGCTGACAACGTCTTGAGCGAAACGCGTGTTCTCACGTGTCCAGGTCGCCCAGGCACAGCACAGCCCTCGGCACGGTACATCAATATCGATACCCTTAGCATTGCAGCCTGGCATGTTGCCTGGCACGTTCCGCGGAGCGTCCCGTGGCGAGTCCCCCTGGCACGTCGCGCGGTGCACGTCCACTGGCACGTTCCGTAGCGCGTCCCCTTGGCACGTCCCGCGGTGCGTGCCCATGGCACGTCCCCTGGCACGTCGCCTGGCGCGTCCCTTGGGACGTTCCGCGGCGCGTCCTCTTGGCATGTTCCCTCTGTCGATTAGTTCTGGGGCAGCTACCATCTGCTCAGGCAGCTCGAGCGTCCCGTGGCGAGTCCCCCTGGCACGTCGCGCGGTGCACGTCCATTGGCACGTTGCGTAGCGCGTCCCCTTGGCACGTCCCGCGGTGCGTGCCCATGGCACGTCCCCTGGCACGTCGCCTGGCGCGTCCCTTGGGACGTTCCGCGGCGCGTCCTCTTGGCATGTTCCTGCTGTCGATTAGTTCTGGGGCAGCTACCATCTGCTCAAGCAGCTCGAGCTTACGCTCCAGATCAGTTCGGTGAGGACTCGGATGCCAGGGAGGACTCGGTCCACAACGCTATATAGAGCACAATCGCGGCATGGCACATCGCAGTTCAGCACGGCCCAGCACAGCACAGCCGTCGGCACGGTACATCAAGATCGATACACTCAACTATGCACCTTGGCACGTTCCTTGGCGCGTTCCGTGGCGAGTCCACCTGGCACGTCGCGCGGCGCGTCCCCTGGCACGTCCCTCGGCACGTCCATTGGCACGTTCCGTAGCGCGTCCCCTTGGCACGTCCCGCGGTGCGTCCCCATGGCACGTCCCCTGGCACGTCGCCTGGCGCGTCCCTTGGGACGTTCCCGGCGCGTCCTCTTGGCATGTTCCTGCTGTCGATTAGTTCTGGGGCAGCTACCATCTGCTCAGGCAGCTCGAGCTTACGCTCCAGATCAGTTCGGTGAGGACTCGGATGCCAGAAGGACTCGATCCACAACGCTATATAGAGCACAATCGCGGCATGGCACATCGCAGTTCAGCACGGCGTAGCACAGCACAGCCCTCGGCACAGTACATCATCATCAATACATTCAGCATTGCATGTGCCCGTCGCCCAATCAGGTATCTTTGAAATGTTGCAATGCCTTACATTTCTATGTTCCTTTCCGGGTTCGTGGGTCGATTATGTTTGCTCGATAAGCCCTCATGGGCTCGACCTCTTCTTTCTTGGATGACCTGGGCCCTGCTGTCGTCTTCTCGTCGTTTTCGGCGACGTGTCGTCGTTCGTCTTTCCGCTCCTCTCTCGTTCCTCGCTCTCTCTCTGGGCTTGGGCCTCTCCTCCCCCCCTCGGGGGGCAGCGTCGCTCTGCGGGTTGGTGAACGTCACGACTCCCCCTCCCGCTGGCGGGGGGTGGGAGACGCGGCGATCGTCTCTCGCGGAGGGATGCTGTCCCCCGCTACCTCCTGTGCCTTCGGGCCTCCCCCGTCGTCTGCTGCTTGCTGGAGGCCCCATTCTGCACGTAGAAGCGAAAGTGCCGGGTCGGCTTCGCAGGAGGAGGAGGAGGAGGAGGAGGAGGAGGAGGAGGAGAAGGAGGAGGAGGAGGATAGGAGGAGGAGGAGGAGGAGGAGGAGGAGGAGGAGGAGGAGGAGGAGGAGGAGGAGGTGGAAAAATCACGACGGGAGGTTTCTGGCCGTTTTCGGGCTCTGGGGGCCCTCCCCTGGCTGGGGAACGTCAAAAACGACTCGGGATGAAAAGCCAGCCCTCGGGAAGGGTCGAAACTTCCAGATTCGATTTGGACGCAGATAAAGAAAGCGTCCCTACTACTCCAAGCGGCGGTTCGACCCGGACGAGCAAGACACAGAGCAGAGGACAAGAAGGATGAGCACGACAAGAGGAGGGAGGGGGGGAACCGAACCAAGGGGGAGGAAGCGCGAGTTCGATGCCCCGTGCGTCATCCCTCTCCACGCCTATTTCCCCTCATCCCTCCACCTCATCCCTCGCCTCGTCCTCATTATTGCTCTTCCTCCTCGTCGTCCCCCTCCTCGTCGTGCTCCTCCTCCTCCTCCTCCTCCTCCTCCTCCTCCTCCTCCTTATTCTGCTTGTCCTCCTGCAAGTCATTCCCTCATCATCATCCTTTGCCCTTGCCTGTAAGCGCTGATGGATGCTTCTTGTCGGCTGGCCTGGCCCCTCAGTTCCGAAAAGTCGAAGGGCTCGCCATCGATCGTCTTGCAGCTGAAGCTGTAGATGCCAGCCTCGGGCAGAAGGGGAGCAAGAGGAGGGAAAACGGGAAGAGAAGGAGGGAGGGGAGGGGATTTGGGGAGGAGGGAGAAGCGAGGAGGAATGAGGCAGGAGGGAGGGGAAACGGGGAGGATGCGAGGTGGAGAATCCGGAGAAAACTCGGCATAGGACCCCCATCCCTTCGGGTCGAACGATCTGGGCGCCTGGAGCCGAGCCTCTCGCTCTTCCACTCGGGCGCGGGGAACGGCGTGGAACTGGGAGGGGCATCATACGTTTGCACGCGCAGGGGCAAGGGATGCGCAGTCCAACCCTTGGCACGCGACAAGTCCACCGTGCCTCACAGCGTGCTCGGCCCGTCGCGGGCGTTTTCATCCCCCGCGACCTTGCCCACCCCAGGGGGGGGGGCCCGAAAGAGGGCCCCGAGAGACGTCCCCGAAGAGCCGAAAATAGAACACCGGCACCGTCCCACCCTTGGTGTATAAGAGGAGGCCCTGTGAACAGATGGGTTGGGGATCGGTGTGCGATCTTGGCTGGGTGTTGGGGGTCGTGGCCCCCCCCATTCCCCAGTGGGGCCCCCTGGGGAGGTGTCGCGGGTGACGTCTAGATTCCTCCGCGACCCCAGATCGAGCGAGTGCCCGCGCGCCTGGACAGCCAGGCCTGCAAAAAGGTCGGGGGCGCGCCGAGGGGGGAAATGCGAGGGGGAAGGGCAAGACTTCTCAGAAGGCGGCGGGGACTTCTCAGAACCCCATCCAGCCCTCCAGCCTTCCGACACGCTCTACAGCGGAGAAGGCTGAGAATCGGAGAAGGCTGAGGAAGCCTTTTAGAAGGCCGGGGTCCTCCTGAGCCTTCTGAGAAAG